CCGAGGGCAAATACCCCTACCGGCGTTGAACTACACTGATTGGTCTGAGCTTTCGTTGGCAATGAAAATTGTTAGAAAGATTTTTTTCAGGTAATGACCAACGTGAATACAGGAACACAACGGTCCCTGTTTGGGAATCGACCCACTGAGCAGTGGACCCAGACTTCCCGTGCCAATCCTTGACGCGTTTCGTCAGCTTGGACAGGGAGCTTCAGCCTATGTCCTTCTGATGAGTCCTAACAAGGACGAAACGCGTCAAGGATTGGCACGGGAAGTCTGGGTCCACTGCTCAGTGGGTCGATTCCCAAACAGGGACCGTTGTGTTCCTGTATTCACGTTGGTCATTACCTGAAAAAAATCTTTCTAACATATTCATATTATTCATATTAATTTTCATTTATAATATGAATATTCCGTGGAAGCTCCCATCAAAGAAATTTTCTTTAATATCAAGGTTTAATTTCATAATATCAATGAACTTAGTTCTTGTAACCGATGCACTATTCAACATAGATTCATGTAGATGACTATTCATAACTTAATGAAGCTTCATTCTTTATTCTAATGATAGCTGTTCATGAAATCATAATACTTACAGTTTTCTGTAGGTACTTGGGATTAATGAAAATTTCATTGAATCAATGAAAATGTAATTGATGAAAGCAGTTCATTGATATTATGATGAAGATTTTTTTGAGTGAAGCAATTTCAAGATGGTTAGCGAGAAAAAAAATATGGATCCTTGAATATTTATCAAGTTATGATTTTTTTAATTTAATTTTTTGTTTTGTTGATTGTGCATCTTTGATAGGTATAGCGATATTAAGCTGATAAGAATAGATATTATTTATTGATCTGTGTCCAGTGGCGGCTCGTGGCCTCTAGTGAAAGGGGTTCACACCTAAAGTAAGAGGACCCAGAAGTGATAGCCCAGAAAATGTTTTCGAGTGCTACGCCCAAAAACGTTTGTTTTGAGCCACCCAAAAAATAATATGTTGTGAAAGATTCCTATGTCAAAGATTGAATTAAAAAGTTTTACTCCTTCAATCGCCTAACACAATCACAAAATTTGTAGTATCTATATGTACCTACCTATATTGTAAAATAAACAAGAAAAACAGCCGTCATAAAAAAAAATAAAAATTCGACGATCCGACTCCCACTTCCATATCCACTATCCAGAAAACAAAACAAAATTATTAAAATATCTCAAAAAATTATAATTTATTAATAATTACCGGGTTAGAAAACACAAACAACCACTACACACTGAACTCTGAGCTTTGACTTACTCATAGAACTTCAATTCCCTCTCCGTACCTCTATGCTAAACTTGAAAACATGACAAAATCTAAAAATAATATAAGGTTCGTTCCAACCCAGCCAAAAACCGTACAATGTACGGTCACGGTCATGCGCCATAGGTTAAACGCGTTCCAACCGAGAGATGATCGTTTACCGTACAGTTTCGTTGGCGTTCCAACCAAACCTGGGATCGTTCGAGAACTGGTTTTAGCACCGTCATTTCGATCCCGAATGGAAAGCAAGAACCGCGTGGACTGATTTATGACTGACATGCGTAATTCAATTTTTGTCACCTGTTTTTGTTGTTCATGTTGTTGTTAAACAATCGATTTCCAATCTAACTTACAAGACTGTAGCATTTTTATTTTTTCAAGTGAAAAAAAGTACAAAATTTATTATCAGCTATTTGCTAATCCTTGATGTTATCAGCTTGCAAGGATTCAGTTTTAGATTCTTGATAATGAATCAGCGTTGGTGTTCGATTTTCCTTTTTTATATATTATTTTGTAATCCTAATCCTACATTCTTCTATTTTAATTTGCAAACAAACAAATTTAGGGTTAAAGTTATTTGAACTGTCGTCATTACGAAAACGATCATGAAACCGTTCCAACTACCCGTTGTTTCTGTACCAAGATAAAACCGTGCAAGGTCAACGCATGCGCCTGCAATCGATCCTAACAGTTCCGAAACCGTTTCATGACGATACGAAAACGGGGGGTTGGAACAAACCTATAAATAAAATTCATCTGTGCCACATTGAACAGAAAAAGGCAGAGTTTCAAATCCTATCAGTGCGAGTGAGAAAGGGCTAGAATTCAATGCCGATTCGACGGCACATTCGAGTAGAAAAGGATGATATCGATGGCTGTCGACGAACCCGATGCATCGGTGCACGAGCACTGAACAGTGCGTTATAGGGATATGACACATTGCGAGTTTGCGGAGCGGACGTTAATAGACCGATCTCCTATTACCTAGACTGCGCGCGTCGCTTGTAGGCTGCAGGTGAGCGTCCAATGAGAAGCAATTTTGTGACAGGGTTGCGTCATATTCTTATTCAGGGCCCAGTTCAGAATGAATCATTCCTTCTTTCTTTGTAACGTGTTATTTGACAAAGAGCAAACTAATACTTTACATATTACTTGAATTCACCGCAGTTTCGTTTAAGGTTATGTTAGATTATACTTGACATATTCCTTTGCAATTTCATTGAGCGATGTTGCCGGATGAAACATTCATCAAAATTAAAGTGCAAACGATGTTCATCCACTTTAAAGCTCTTCTTTTGTCTGATTTAAGGCGTTGTAAAACACTTGACACTATATCACTTCTTTAATGTTATAATATTCGATTTGTATTGTCTACATTTGTTCTGTAACAATACAATCTGGCTATACTGCAGCCTACGAGTTGCGCGCGCATGTCATCTTTTATTGCTTTCCAACTTGTATTTATTACAATTAAGTTCCCTTTTTCTAATCATGCGAGATAGGTCTATTGAATAGGGAGCTTATAATTAGGCTAATTCGGGAATTTTAATTCGAAATTATTATAATGGTGATGATCGTATTTTTTTGTCTCGAGGGGGGCACGTGTTCATGTGCTCTTATATGCAAGCCGCCACTGTCTGTGTCAAAGGTTGAGAAGCGAGAGGATATAAGGCATTAGTGACTAGTGATTTTTTACAATTATTATTATTTTGTTCATTTATTTTGTTGACTTTAATAGATTTCTATTTTATGGCAAAATCAGCATACCACCTTGGTAAATATTTACAATATTTAATGTTTATGGAAAAGGTTTTTTTGAGGTTTTTTACTGGTTTTATTGATTTTTACTGGTTTTTTACTGACATTTTCAAAATTCCTACCTAATTTGTGATTAGTTTCCTTAATTAACTTAGTAGTTGTCTATTAATGACCTGACGGTGCAATCTTTGCATTAAAGTAAATGGTCAACATTTTGAACAATTATTGTAAACCATAATTTATTTGTTAATAAATAAGCAAAATTAATAACAGTGATTTAATTATTGCGAAGAATAAAAGTACCATACAATTTTTTTGCTCTACAGCCCAAATGGCTCATTTGCGGACATACAGGGTGTCCCACGGTGGATGGCGTATTAGACGTTTATGGAGAACTAAAAAGCGGATCATTTTGAAAACTTGGCAACCGGGATAAACGGCCATAATCTACACTTTAAAAATATTTTTGTATGTGCGGTGTTGCCGCTTCTACTCTAAACCAGTAGCAACAGCGCTATTTTAAATGGAACACTCTGTATGTGATTACATATTTGGATTCTACGTAAAATTCTGAGCAGATTTCATGTGATATACCCTATACCTAGGTTTAACTGTTTTGGAAATATTGACAGTATAAAATTGACTTTTTGCAACTTTGACAGGCTGTAAAACCTGAACGGTTGATTTTAGAGAAAAACTGATTTTACATTCCTATCTTAGATTTTCATAAACCATCATTTGATACCAACTTCAAATTTAATCCATGATTAAAAATTCCAAATAAATTTAATCTCCAGTTAAATTCAAAGTTAGTGCCAAATGATAGTTCATGAAAATCTAAGATAGGAATGTAAAATCGGTTTTTCTCTAAAATTAACCGTTCAGGTTTTACAGCCTGTCAGTTGAAAAAAGTCAATGTTCAACTGTCAATAATTTCAAAACAATTGAACTTAGGTATAGGGTGTATCACATGAAATCTGCTCAGAATTTTACGTAGCATCAAAATATGTAATCAAATACAGGGTGTTCCATTTAAAATAGCGCTGTTGCCACTGGTTTAGAGTAGAAGCGGCAGCACCGCATAAACGAAAAAAAAAATTTTTTAAAGTGTAGATCATGGCTGTTTACCCCGGTTGCCAAATTTCCAAAATGATCCGCTTTTTAGTTCTCCATAAACGTCTAATACGCCATCCACCGTGGGACACCCTGTATGTTTATACAAACAAAAATGCTTGTTTTTTTTTTGATATCCCTTACTACCCTTTAAAGTTTGTCGGTATCTTTTTAGGATACTTTGTATATTTAAATAATATATTGTTTATCAAAAAAATTAACTCATCCATATTTTTTTTTCTTTATTATGTCCTAATAATTGCTCCAATGCAAATTTGAACATAGAAAAATTGTCTGTTTTTAGGGACCTAATGTGTTCTAGACCCCACAGATATGCCAGACTTTGAAGGCTGTTCAGTTTCTTGACCGTCATTACTTGTTGTGCTTTTGTCCCCCATATTGCAGCTCCTTATACAACTATGGGTCTGATAACCGTGGCATACAGCCATAGCATTATCCTTGATCTCAGACCCCATGTTTTTCCCAGCAGACTTCTGCATCTGATGCATGCAAATGATATGCCAGATTTCCTCCTCCAAAAAAAAAGTACTGTTAACTTCAATCTAGTTGATTTTATCTCCCTTTTCTTATTTGCATAATCTCGCTCAATATTTCTGTTTCTCCTCTGGGCGTTTCCTTAATTCTGAAGACTCTCTCTGTCTTTGGCCTCTTGATTTCTTTCGCCTTCTCATCTTTATTATAGTTTGATTCAAAAATAGGTTTCATTATACTTATTGAGATTTCAGTAGCTAGTCCTTCTGACTTGTGTGGACTCTCAAAAATACCCTATAATGAATGAATGAATGGGTGTTGAAATAAGACTAAAGCGCATCCAACTGATATTCATTTATTTCAACAAAATAACAAGTTATTATCTGAAAAGTAGTTACAAACTAAAAAAACTGACGTGTACATTAACTCTTGGAAGCATTTTGTATATTTTTATAGTGTAGAAAAATTATCAGTTCGTCTAAAAAAAAAAACGATTAGACGCTAAAAGCGCGCAGACTTAAATTATTCTTTTTGTTATAATTATATGTACCATGTAAAACAGATAAAATTAAAAAATTCACAAATATTTACATATTAGGGAAACCCTCTCCTTTTCAAGTAATTTTTGTATTTATAATAACATAATTTTTCGTTTAAGTCATAATTTTTCGTTTAAGTCACAAAGTTACTTACATTCCCAAAATCTTAGTTGAATGAAACGCACGTTACGTTTGAATTAAAAAAAATCACATTCTTAATTACTACAAGTCTTCTAAGACATGTCTCTGTTGTATCAATTTAAACATTTTCATTGAAAGACGTTGATATTTTCTTATTGAAAGTGAAAAAGGGCTTCAAAAATATTAGAATTATGAACTTTGTGATTCATAAAAGTAGTATGTAATTATTGTTTTCGATTTAATTTTTGTGAATCTCTCTAGTTTGTAAAGTTTTCTGGAACACATTGTCTATAGGAGGTAGAAAATGCATACTATATGAAATAATTTCAACTGGTATATATAAGATCGAGCATTTATTTAAGGATTTACATAAGATCTTGATACAACAAAAAGTTTAATGAAAAAATTGCACTCAAAGCAAAACAAGTGCCCCCTAGCGTTTATAAAAAGACATTTACTTCTAACTAACAGGTATGGAAATGCAAAAAACTTTCTCTCAAACATAAAACCAAAACAAAAAAGATCCTATATTATTAAATTAGACATTTTTTTTTAATAATATATACTTTCTTAAACTATAAGCTAAGTTTTTCAATTTACAAACTACTTATTTATATATTTTTTCGCTTATAATTAATTATTTACAAATTCCGTTAAATGTCATCATTTGAAATAAAAAAAAGTTTATCTACAAAGATATTATATGTAATAATTATAATTAATATAAAAAAAGTAAATATGGACGCTACACAATTATGTGAACTCACTAGATATCTTACTCCACGTTTCATATTGACACAAACTTGATTATTTATTATATAAAAACCTAAGTCTAAACACCACAAGAATTACAGTAAAAAGTCTAAAAACCTAGAGAGCAACTTGTTTGGATAATTTGGATTACTTCATGATGGAGAGCTGCTCAATTTCAAATTTGTCAAACGGAATGTCTAAGTCTGCCTAAAGACAAGCCACAGGTCAGCGAATTTATGAATAAGTCACACTTCTTATTCCAACCAAGTTACTCAAAACGCCAAGTGGAGTAAGATGAAAGACGACAAAACAAATTGCCTTTTGCCATACTCAAGGAAAAATTTACATCATTCGACTCGAATTACAAATCACCACACAAGTAGGGGGCTTCTTAACTCTAAAATCCTCCTTTAACTAATCCTAAAAAATATCACCTATAACATTTTTATTTACACATCAAAAAATATAACGCTGGCCATCCACTGAATCTGTTTTTTGACCGAGCATTTTCTCTGCTTACAATAGAAATTTGCTAGTCCTAGGATATATTTATAAAGACGGATTCAAAGGGTGATCAGTCGAAGATGGTTGGTTGTTTTTAGATGACGCAAATTTTATGAAATTTTAGTATTCACAAAAATTCCATTTTTTTTTTCTGCTCAGAAGTTCCAACTCTAGCGCCATGATCGCTATAAGTAATGGTGTGCAGAATTATAGAAGTAACTTATTTTTCATAAGGATAGACTTTGTATTATGAAATCAGTATCTTTCGCATTTTGGAGTCACTCTAGAGCACTTATGGCTGTTTGCACCAACCGTTTTGAGCAAGTCTTAGCGATAAGTATTCCTTAAAGTGAAGTTTCCTCATGTAAAAATGTCATTTTAAGGAATACTTATCACTAAGGCTTCCTTATAATGGTCAGTGCAAATGGCCATCACTACCTAACTTTAAAAAAAGTTTAAATATAGTCATTACATTTTCTATTTGTAGGTTTTGACGAGATCAAAAATTTGGATGCCCTATATAATTCTTAATGTTATGTGTGAGAGTGAAGATCAATGTCAGAAAATAACTACCTACTTACGAGGAGCGAATTTTGGTAATCCCAAAAGTCACTCCACGTAGATTGCAGTTCCATTTTCATGTTTCAAAGCAAGTGAAATTTTTATTAGAAAATCAAGGTATGGACCTTAATAATTGACTCAAAAGAATTTATTATATAAATATAATTCAAATAACCAATAAAAAATATATAGTATAGGAGCTGGCAGGTTTTTCGGTAAACGATATTTATCGAAGTTTTTATTGATAAATCATGATTGTAAGTTACCTGAACATACCAAAACTGACCGTCTGCCGTTTCAGGGTGGCAGCTTTAATCGGGGGTTAAATTTTAAAAAAGGGACGGATTTTCATTTTGATAAACGATATTTATTGGGCGTGAACTCTGCACCTACCGGTAGGTCCCGTTTATTTCCTCGATTGTGTGCCTATCGTATATGTATAACGCTGAAACATTATGGTGTGGCGACCCCAAAAATTTCGAAGTTTTAAAATCTCAGAAAATATAACTAAACTCAATTGGTAAAAACATTTTTGTAGTCATTTTAATTAGAAAAGTACCTACGTCAGTTGCAAGATAATTTCATCTCAACTTATTAAATCTCCTAGCAAATCCAGCATTTAATTCCGTATGAAAATAGTATAAATAAAAAATGAAATTTCTAAGCTCAACTCAAATTACATAACAATTTTTTTTCCAACACAAGCGATGAGCGACCGGATGTCAGAGTTCGATGTCCCCAATTAATAGACTCTTGCAAAAATCGTATTAAAAAAAAGCAAATCAATAATTATAAAATTAGGACGCGTTTAACCGGAAATCACTATACTCATGTGATTTAATTGCGTCATAACTGATAAACTACAACACCGGTGTTTCCGCCGGATGTTGCATCATATCCTAAATAAAAACTTACAAAAAAAAAAACAATTCTTGGAAAACAACAATGTCGTTTATCACTCGATAAACAAGGTCAAATAAGAGGATTGATTGGTTCGAGAAATGCTAAATGACCGCCCACGTAACAGATTTTGGGTGGGAATTGAGTACTATTATTTAAGCAGGTTACAATCAGAAAAAGGTAGATAACATCCAGGAGTTGATTTGATAGTAAGATTTTAAGAATCAAGAAAATTGGCAGTGAGTGAGTCTCCACCAAAAAGTTTTTTTTATCTTTGTTTTGCCTCGGGCAAAAAGCTAAAAAGTTTGCAATTGACTATTGTCCAGTAAAAGTCATAAAGTAGTATCAGGTTTTCCTTTGTTTGTGCGTGCTAAGTAACTGAAAGTAATTTTGATCGTTAGTGAATTTAAGGACAGATTGTAAGTACATGTAGAAATTTGAGACTTTAGTATTTATCTATTAGTGAATTGATTTTAAGTGAACTGTCTTAGGAACTTTACTGAAAATTTGTTTGATTTTACGAGTGAAATGACATTTGAATTTATTTTGATAAAGAAAGGTTTAATAATCAAAATAGAATGAACTTGACTATTGCTAACAATTTGAAGTGTTTTTCCATGTTTTTGGGGGATTTACGCTTAGCGAACAATTGAAGACTCAAAAATAATCTCATGGTGTGTGCAGAGGGATTTTTAATAGGTTGCCGTCTAGAATGAATCAGATTCCAAACATCAACAGGTTTGACGCCCAAATTAGAGAGATGTTAGGTACCGGGTGTCAAGTTCTAAAGTACCACCCCTTATAACTGTTTTATGTACGATCGAAAATAAAAAAGTTACAGAGACACCCTGTACTTATAAACGCTTATTACTCAGTAGACGAATTTCTTGATGACAATTCTACAAACAAAATTGTATTTACGCATTTAGCTAGCAAGAGCTGACTGGTAGGATATACAGATTAACACCTTCCAGTAGGCACTTTATTAAGTAGGCGTTCAATCGGTGGATGAAAAAGGACCTACTGGTACGCGTACGATGGTTTGATGACAAAGGACCGACCGGTAGGCGTAGGATCTACTCCCATAATTATCATGACCGAAATTTTCGGAAACAAATTTACAGGTTGAGGACTAATCAAACTTGCATAGGCAGACGATTTTTTTGACAGCATAACTTCGACAGAGGCCTGTCAAATTTGTAATTTTTAAGTTAAGTTTTAGTGAACTACATTTATCAATTTTTTTTTTTTTTTTGCAAATCAATTCCTTTACTAACGTTCATCAGATACCTGCTGAATCTGACAAGACCAGCAAACAACTTTTACTATAGCCACAAATTAGGAGACACAATAGAACGCGCTCTGGGCAGAGGTAAAGAACAAACGCTGATGGACTTTACTACTAAACAAGATGTTTCCAGTTAGATCCTATAGACCAAATAATACACAAACCTTTCAAAGAGGAGGAGGAGACGGATTGGATCAGCAACCACCCAAATTAACTGGCGATAGCATCAATCTAGATGTGTTCTATCGATTTTAGACGGTCCAAGTGAGACAAGGATGTCAGAGGAGGAGATAATGGAGCCCTTTTGGCGAAAAGTTATGGAGTCAAGAGCCAACATAGCACCCCCGGATGAGGTAATCCAGTAGGATTTGGAGAACGTATGGGTGCCGATCCCCCCAGAAGAAATTGATAAAGCCAAGATTCCAATACAAAAGGCCCCTGGGCCAGATAGAATCACCCCAAGACAGCTAAAAATCATCCTAATCCTGATTAAAGTGAGAATTCTGAGCATCATTCTCTGGCAGCCTTCCCCTTTGGGGCAAGGAAAGGCAATAACGAACTTTATTCCCAAGAAGGCAAATTCCAACGAGCCTGGGGACCACTCACTGTACCATCGGTCATAGCAAGACCAAGCCACATTCCATCTTGGCAAGTCGGTTTAACAAAGAAATCAAGTTGGAAAATAAAAATAAGAAGAAAAATTGTGCGCTTCATTGATTAAAAACGAGAGGTTATGGGCCCAGAGCGGTGGCGTTAAAGATACAGTGAAAATCCGAGGTTTAAAAGTGATTTTGCTGGTGATTGGAAAGCAGGGAAAATGGCTGGTACAGCAGCGGGAAAAGGCTACTCAATTGAGCCATTAAATGGAAAAAATTCCACAATTGGAAGTTCAGAATGGAGCTTATTCTGGCGGAAAATGGTGTTAAGCAAATGACTGAGGCAGAAATTGATCCAACAAAAGAAAATGAAGTTAAAAAGGACAACAAAGCAAAATGCTTAATTGTTCAGTTTGTTGATGATACACAGTTGGAGTGCCTCAGGGACTGTGGATCAAGTTTTGAAACGTGGAATGTGCTGGTAGAAAAATATGAACGAAAAGGATTTCCAGGCCAGTTGTACCTTAAGAAAAAGTTGCTTTTTATGAAGCTGAAGGAGAATGATTGCCTCATGAAACATATTGAGGATTTTGACAACATTGTCAGACAATTGAAGGCTGTTAAAGCTGACATGAAAGATGACGACCTGATATGTAACTTGCTATTGAGCCTGCCAGCTTCTTATGACACACAGTTGTCACAGTCATTGAAAATATACCAAATATCTCATACAATGATGTGCAAAGCTTTTCGCTGAAAGTGATAAACGAAATTTGAACTCAAGAAAAGTTAGTTCAGCAGCCAGTTCCAGTACAGTAGCTACTGCTTTCAATGCACAGAAGACTTGCTATAAATGTGGACTTGTTGGCCATTTCAAATGTGAGTGTCCTGGAAGAAATCAAGGTGGGGATCAGGGCCAGGGTTGGCAGGGCCATCAAGATGAAGGTTGAGCTCGAAGTGGAGGTTATGCAAACAATAATAGAAGAGTTTTTCGAGGACGTGGATATCAAGGAACATATCGAGGTGGTAGAGGTGGCTTTGGAGGAAGATTTCAAGGTAGGAATAGATATAGGAATTTTCGAGGGAACTTTCATAGTTATCAATATCATGCAGAAACTAATAGTAGAAATGAAAATAACAGTCAAGCTAACAGAAATAATGTATTGAATCAGAATGACTTTTCAGTTGATAAAAGTGTATGTTTCATGGGGGATAGAAATGGAGATTTAACCGACAACAAAAATATTGATACGTTGAGTTTTTATGTAGATTCTGGTTGCACCGACCATATGGTTAATAAAAAAAAGATTTTTTTTTTAAAACTTACTTATGCTTGAAGAGCCAATAAAAATTGCAGTTGCTAAGGATACTAGTTATCTATTAGCCATTGGGGTTGGTGACATAAAAGTATATGATATTGTTAACAATGAAAAGATCAGATGTAGCATCAGAAATGTGTTTTATGTTCCTTTTTTGCGCAGAAACCTTTTATCAGTAAAAAGGCTAGAGATGGTTGACATTCGGGTACTGTTTGAAAAAGGCCAAGTAAAATTATTAGATAAACATAACAATATTGTTAGGTTAGGAAAGAGAAATAATCTGTATGAGATCTCATTTTGTTTTTTCCAATCAGAATGCTTAAATGTTGAATCTGAGAATAATAACTTTATAAAGTGGCATAAGTCATATTGGTTTTTCAGGGTTAAAAGAAATTATTAGGTCAGGGATGGTATACGGTATTGAGGAAAATTTAAAAGTTCAAAATGTGGAATTTTGTGAACCTTGTGTCACAGGAAAGTTATCAAGAATACCATTTGGGACACATACAAAAAGCAATAGGATTTTAGAAATAATTCATACTGATTTGTGTGGACCAATAAGCCCCACTCCTTTTGACGGAAAGAAATATTTTATGATGTTTCGAATTTCACAGTTGTATTCTTATTAGAAAATAAGAGCCAGGCATATGAAAAAATATGTGAATATGTTAACATGGTTGAATCAAAATTTAATAGTAAAATATCAAAATTGCGTTGTGATAATAGGGGGGAATATAAGTCAAAAGAGGTAACAGATTTTTGTAAGGAAAAGAGAATAATTTTGGATTATACTGTGCCTTATACCCCACAGCATAATGGGAAAGCCGAAAGAAAAAATAGAAGCTTGGTCGAAAGAGGCAGGGCTATGTTGGATGATGCAGGTATGCCTAAAGAATTTTGGGGAGAAGCGATCTTAACAGCAAACTATTTGATGAATAGGGGAATAACAGCAAAATTTAAAGGGTATCACACCAGCCGAGACATGTTATGAGGAAAAAACCAGATATAATAGTTATTTATGTATCAAGGGTACTAAGTAGATGATTATACCCTGAGGGCGACAGTCTTACAGAACCGAGGGCCTCTGGCCCGAGGGTTCGTAAGTCGCCTGAGGGTATATATCTATTAGTACCCGTGGTGCATACAAACTTTTATGTCATACCAGTTAGTTGTGAATAATAAATACCTGGGAAAAAAGTGTCACTTTGCAAATTGTCATCAGTGTGCAAACATCATCATTTTTTGACAAAAATAATATGTTTATATGCGTAAATTTATATTTTGTTAATAAAGAATAAGTTAATTGAAAATTGTTTTTTGCGTCTTTATGCCCGCGCGGGCCATAATGTGTACTTTATATAGTAATGAATTATGTAGATGGTATCTAAGGTATAAAAACACAATAATGTATTGGTATGACATAAAAAACTTTAGAATATTTGGGTGCATGGCTTTTAGTTTAATTCCAAAACAATTCAGGGCAAAAAATTTGACTCTAAAACTAAACATTGTATTATGTTAGGGTATTCACCAAATAGTTATAGGCTGTGGGATATTGCAGATAACAAATTGATTTTATCCAGGGATGTAGAGTTCCATGAAGATACATTTTATTACAAGAATAGGTTGAAAGACAGGAAAACTTACAGAAATATGAGGAAAACCAAGATGAGGATGAAATAGAAGAGCAGTCTGATTTGGGGTATGAGAATGAGATTTCAGGAAAGCGACAAATAAAAATGCCATCCAGGTTCAGGGACTATGAATTGTTCATGGCATTTGATGCAGGGATATTTGTGAATGATGTTCCTAAGTGTTTTTCAGAATTAAAGGATAGAGCTGATAAAAATTACTGGTTAGATGCTGTAAATAGAGAGTTAGATTCAATCATAGAAAACCAGACATGGGAAAAAATATATAGGCCTGTGAAGGTTAGAATTTTAGATACTAAGTGGGTGTTCACATACAAAAATTTGGAAGATAATTTAGAAGAAAGGTATAAGGCCAGACTTGTTGTTAGAGGTTTCATGCAAGAAAAACATGTAGATTTTGAAAATATTTACTCTCCTGTAGCACGAATGTCAACCATTAGATTGTTGCTGGTAATAGGTAATCAGTATAAATACCATTTTGTGCAACTAGATGTTAAGACAGCATTTTTAAATGGATCTATTAATGAGGATGTATATATATTTGCACCTAGTGGTATAGAGGTTAAGTCAGGTGAAGTGCCTAAATTGAAAAAGTCTTTGTACGGTTTGAAGCAAAGTAGCAAATGTTGGCACGATAATATTAATAGTTTTCTTATAAGTATAGGGTTTGTGAGGTCCGAAAATGATTTTTGTTTGTATTATTTAGTGTGTGAAAATGTTTTGGATATAGTGTATTTACTAATTTATGTCGATGACATTATTTTGTCAGGTCCTTCTTTACACAAAATCAATAATATCAAGTCATCAATGTCACAATTTAAAATGAAAGACAAAAGGTAATTTGAGTCACTTTCTTGGTCTTGAGATATATTATGATAGGGGCAATGGTATTTTAAAAATTCTTCAAGCAAAGTATGTGGAAAATCTGTTAAAGAAGTTTAAAGTTGAAGACTGTAAAACTTCTCCTATTCCGATTGAGCCAAAACTTAAAGTTGATAAATGTAAAAATGAGAATGAATTGACCAATAAACCATTTAGAGAGTTGATTGGCTGGGTACTAGACCCGACATATGTTTTGCAATAAACTTCTTTAGCAGATACCAGGACAAGGCCACAGATCAAACTTGGAATTATCTCAAAAGTATACTAAATTATTTAAATGGAACTAGAAATGTTGGGCTGTATTATAAGAGAGGTTTATGCAACAATGGTTCGGTATGCTATGTAGATGTTGATTGGGGCGGTGACCTCATCGACAGGAAATCTGTTTCTGGTTTCTTGATTAAGCTTTTTGGAAACATAATTGCTTGGATAACGCGCTAACAGAACTGCACAAGTCTCTCTTCTACCGAAGCGGAATTAGTTGCTCTATGTAGTGCAGTGACAGAAAGTTTGTGGGTTCTGAAGTTGTTGAAGGATTTTTCTTTGAAAATAAATGAAACTATTTTGTATGAGGATAATCAGGGCTGTATCGCAATAGCTAATAATCCAGCCAATAATCGCCGGGTGAAACATTTGGAGTTGAAATATAACTTCATAAGTGAATACATAAATAAGCAAATTTTGGAACTGCAATATGTTTCATCTAGCAATCAAGAGGCTGATATTCTGACAAAGGGATTGCCTGCTCCTATGTTTAAACATTTTAAAGAGTGTATAGGTTTGAGATATTTTAGCGAGGGAGGCTGTTGAAAAGTGTTATTTTATCTCACACTAAAATCTCTTTTATTTCTGTGTTGGTTAGTGTTGTGAAGAAACGGAACAGTGGCCAGAAACGGAACAGAGCAAAAATTAAGTTAGGTTATGGTACCGTCTGTCAAGTTAGAAAAAGCGTATAATAATAAACGAATTTTGAGTTGCCTTTTTCTCTTGGAGCTTTTTGTACGATTTCGAGGTTGGAAAATAAAAATAAGTAGAAAAATTGTGTGCTTCATTTAAATAAAAATAAGTAGAAAAATTGTGTGCTTCATTTATTAAAAACAAGAGGCAGTACTACTGCGACTCTTCCGCCCACATGAGAGGCGAGAGCTGGACATCAGAACCTATCAAGCCTTAAAGAAGTGTCAAGCAAGGGGGCTCGCTATTCCCTTTGCTGTTTAACATGATTATAGATAGGTTACTCAGGAAGCTCCCCAACGAAAACGGGACCACAATCGACATTACCAAGATTAATGCCCTCGCCTTCCGCATATGATCTTATTCTGATGGCATCTACTTCGGCTGGACTCCAAGACTTGTTTAATATCACAACGGACTATCTGGAGTCATGCGAGTTGCTTCTAAACCCAGCTAAATGCATCTTCGTTAGCATCAAAAGGCAGCCGAAGCAGAAATACACTTTAGTGGAAGGAAGACAGTTTAAAGTGGGTATTAGGTACATGGCAACTACACAACCAACTACTTTTTGGCAGCTGAATTGGACAAAGTGGAAAAGCCTAAATACAATGATTGAGCCCGAGGTTCAGAGCACACATCAACAGAATGTGGAAAACTAAATTGTGTGACATGCTGGACAGCCATGGCCTGAGAGAAGCTGCCAAGGTACCACAGGCACATAGATGGATCAGAGAACCCACCCGGCTCTTATCTGGGAAGGACTTCCTGAACTGCATAAGAACAAGAAATAATGCCCTGCCTAGTCAATCTGGAACAACTGGAGGCAGGACAGAATCAGATCGCTTGTGCAGATCTGGATGCCAAGGAGAGAAACATTGATCCTTCAGCAATATTCGAGATCCCATGGTCCTCGAATTAAGAGACACGACGCCATGGCGACCTACCTGAGGAGAAATTTAAACACTCAAGGCTACGTAGTACTGACAGCTGAAAATTGAAGTGGACAATGTTATCCTGAAATCCGACATTGCCACAACTAAAAATGACAATTATTTAGTCATCGACACGCAAGTGGTCACTGACTCTTATCGATCTGGATCTCGCCCATGCAACAAAGAAAAATAAGTATGGAAGCGTAACGTTTCATAATACTGTCAGAAAAACGACAAAGGCAAAAGATTCAAGAGCAACGACATTGACAGTGAACTGGAAGGAGATTTGGAAAAACTTAAGCAGCGATAATCAGCGTCCGTGCTACAACCACTGTTAATTTGTTGCTGAAAATTTCGGTCATGATATTGTTTACCAAAATGAAAATTCATCCCTTTTTAAAATTTAACCCCCGGTTAAAGCTGCCATCCTGAAACGGCAAACGGTCAGTTTTGTTATGTCCAGGTTACTCACAATCATGATTTGTTAACAAAAATTTTGATAAACATCGTTTACCAAAAAACGTGCCAACTCCTATACTAATACTACACACACATATTATTATAATCGTAAGGCTTCAGAGCTCTTGATCACTTTGCTGTGTTGAACACAAAACTGCTAAATTTAGTTCACTAAGCTTACTCAATGTACTATAAAAAATATACTGTAAATTAGTCAAATTCAAAATGCAAAAGATGATCATAATTGATATAACAAAAATATCAGACTGCAACAAATTAGAATAAATACATCATAATCTCCATAAAATTTGCGACCCTAAACTAGCTTAACCATCATATAAGTAGACAAAACTCGCTTCACTTCAAAGTCCCTTTAGTAGACGAAAAAATAACACCATTACGCGTCAGTGCGCGCATCCTTAATCGCTAATCCTCGTCGCTGAGAGGTTCGTACTGCGAAGACAGCAGAGGTTTCGGCTCGTTACTTCGCGAATTGTCATTGGCAGTGTCCTTGTGTACGTACGCGTACGAGTAACCTCCTTGCGGTTGCTGGTGCTGCGGCCTTTGCGCACCTTCAGGCTGTTGCTGTCCTCCGAAATCGTTTTCGTGTTTCTCTTCATCGATTACCATATCACCAGGGCTGTCGCTTCTGTCCTTGTCTTGCGCATGGGAGTCTTGCACATCTTTTTTATCATCTTCAGTCCGCATTACTTCAACGATTCGATTTTTAACATAATCCAAGGGTGACATGTGAGATTGAGGCTGTTGATAGCGTCTGTAAGCCTGTTCAGGCCAGTGATTGTTTTCTGGAGGCGACACAGGTTCGTGATGGTACTTTTGTGGTTGCGCAATCCTAATTATTTGTCTTTCATCTTGCTGAGGCTGTTGCGCGGGCTGTTGAGGAGTCGCGGAACGTTTACTCTCTTCTTTTTGTTGTTGCTGGGCTTGCAATCTACGTTTCCACTGTTCAGACTCTTGCAAATGGTAATACGAACCTGGCCTATTGAAGTCGTGGCTTATCACTGAATCTGTTAGTTCTTTTACAGTCAAATTTTTACTGACTCCATCATTATCCAAATCAACACTGATAATCGAAGCAGGTCTTATGCCATTATTATCCTGGCTTACAGGAGGATCTCTTTGGAATCCTTGGAAAAGTAAATCGCTAGGCCTTGGTGGTTCTCTAGCATTTGGAACAACATCTCCTCTATTATTTTCAGCAGTTTGATTAATTTGATGCGTGATAATTGCATCAATTAAACTTGCAGCGGTCATGGTGCTCGGATCTGCTCTACCTTGCTGCTGTTGCTGCTGCTGTCTAGCTTGGACCTGTTGCTGCTGCTGCTGTTGTTGTTGTTGTTGCTGTTGTTGCTGCTGCTGTTGAGCCTGTTGTTGTTGCTGCTGTTGTTGATGATAAGCAACACGTCGATGTTGTTCTTCTATCCTTTGCTGTTGCTGTCTCATTTGTTGTTGGTGCTGCAACAGCTGCAATCTGTGAGGTTGTTCTAAAAGATTATCGGCCATTGTTTTGCCCAAGCCTTCGTGTGGAGCACTAGGAACTGGTAAGCTTGGCTGTTGGACTGATAATTCTACTAAAGTAGATAGAGCTTCGTGACCTGGAGGTGGCGCGTGATATTGAGGCCGTGTATGTCTTTGAATCACCCCTTGTCTTTGTTGGCTTTGCTGAGGAGGTGGTGTTCTATGGGGACTACTTGATTGATAATACTGATGTTTTTCTTGACGTCTATTGTGCATTTGCTGGCTTGTAATGTAATCGTCCATAATAATTTGTCTAGAACTCATTTGTGAACTGATTTGCTGATCATAGGGGTTTCTTTGCGGAGCGTACTGATACTGAGTTTGCTGAGCCATATTTTGTTGACTGGGCATTCTGCCTTGCTTAGCATAATAATCAAAAACTCTTTTATCTGGCTGCATACTATGAGATGTGTGAATAGGCGTTCCTTTGGTTATGGAACCCATTTTATCCGGCATTTGTCTGAGCAAACCATCATATCTTGTAGGTTGATTTATTATTGGAGTCCCTAAAGTAATGGAGCCAGTTTTTGGATTAGCTGGTTGAGGACTGGGTAGTTTCACTTGCGACGTACGCATAAACGCAGGGCTTTTTCTCTCTTGATGATACATATAAGAAGGTTCTGATCTATGAATGGCTTGTTGCAAATGTTTTGCATGTGCTGGAGGTAAAGGTTCTCTAGGCTTTTTAATGCTCAAATCCAAAGTTTCTGGTATAGAGTCCCTAGTATCTTGTACTTGTACAACCACTAAATCATCTCTAGAGCTTGGAATCGGGTCTGGTTGAGGCTGAGCTCGAATAGGTCCAGAAACGGGAGTAATGGTTGCCCCAATCGTATTCGCCAATTTAGTTAGGCTAATATCCGCTCTAGATTGATGCGGCGGCTGAGATCTATTGGGTAAACTGTTCAAATTGTATTCACTAACTATAGTCACTTCATTTGAATCGCTATTGAGAATAGACGATATCGTGGGAGCCAATCCAGGTCCCTGAACAGGTCCAGGTTGTTGAACACCCGAACTTTTGTTCAAAGATATCTCAATTACGTTCATTACGAGCTCTTTTACACTGAGTGGACTCTGAGTTGGGCGTGGTTGATAGTCGTTGACCACTGGAGTTATGGTTGCGGCTTGATAATCGGTTTGTGCTTCATCAGCTGTTTCAGTAGCACTAGAATCATAGTCTTCTTTTTTGACAGCGTTTTGGTTTGCGCCTTGCATCACTGGAGGACTTTCGGCGGCACTCGTAGTATCACTGGAATGTCTTTCTCTCATCGGCTCTTCACAGCTTGACGTACTAGATCCAGATTCTTCTTCATCAGTTAACGTTGGCTTTCTATCACCAAGACAACTGTCTAGACTTAAACGTTTACGGTTGGCCGCGTAAAAGCTTCGCACTTGATATGCTAGTTTATTGAGCCTTTCTCCAACTAGCTGCCAGTTGGCGCCTAATTCTGTTAAGGCCGATTTTAACTGAGCCACTTCTTCGTCTGCCCACTTTTCTACAGGACCTAGTCGTCGCTGGATGCGATTGAAACACGCCGAACAGCATTTAGTTACTCCACTAGGAATTCGAAATTCTGCCATGATTGGATCTCTGACGTCAGCGGGCAGGTCTTGTAAGCGAGACGGTAATCGTTTGAGTCTACCTCGTGCATTTGAACAGCTGGGCAATGGACAGAGGGCGTAACGAGAACGGACGCATTTGCAACGACAATTGTTGCAGACTCGTGAGTTGGGCGATATTTGATCTTCCCTGAGACCGTATTGGGCAGCTTGACTCGATTGGAGAGGTCTGGAGTGTAGTTGTGGACCAAGCTGGGAGTTGCAGACAGTACAGTTTCCTTGGATGGTCTTATCTGGAACAATAATTTCAATTAATAGGTGCCTAGATACGAGAATCTTGACAGTGCTATATTTTCATGATGTTATTGCAATAAAAATTGTATTTCTACTCTAGATAATATAAAAAAATAAAAAAATGTAATGTTTCAAAATCCCATTTTTATCTTTTTTTCTGTCTTGATTCGCCTGCGGCAACAACTTTTTCCAAACGAATTGCTTCTGTTTGCGCTCGCTTATTTTATTTCATTAATATGACTGGAGCTTAGGCAAACACCGAATATACAACGTATACATTTATATATGTTTTAATAAATTTAAGTTAAATATAACGTTAACCTCCTGTTCGCTTAATAAAACGTCACTTAGGGTTAATTAATAATATTTGCGAACATGGTGAAAGCCAAAGAAGAAGGGAGAGGGCGGAACGACGTTAAAATTAAATAATTAGCGCGGAGAATTTCAAGTAAATAACGAACCGGTAATTTAAATCGTTTATATACTACGAGAGAGTTTGGGAGACTTACTACAAAGGTTAATTAAATATGAATTTTTTGGCCATCAAGTATTGTTAGGAAGATACTGGATTTTCGAAACAAGTCATAAAGCGGAACTACTGAAGGAGTGTGTACTTTCATCAAGGAGAGGTGTGTGTATCTAGGTATATTGTATCCCCTAAATATTGTTTTTGAAAGTGCAGTTCCAAACAGAATATTTGCCTATAAATATCCATTTTGTCATTTGACATTGTACGAGAGACGCCTATGCCTTGTAAGAGTTTTCCATTATGTCCGAATCACTTAATGATAATAAAATATTCTCAAAGTTAAGAGTTCTACTATGGCGGGACCCCGCGCGCAAAATTGAATATTAATATTTAATTTAATTAGGAGAAAAGTGTGTATTCTCTTTATGAATACACGCCGCAAGGCAGAGCAGCCCGCGATGCTGCGCGCTTGATTTCGATTTGTTTGGACAGCACCGCGGGAAAAAGGGTTACCTACTGCAGGTTTTAGAGTTATTAAAAAAGGACCTCTTCGATTGGCTGAAGTAGCCTGCTTTTAAGAACGTTATAAGATTTTTTCCAAACATTGGAAATATTCCACTCTATATTTTAGCTGTGCTATCGGGGAGGTACAATAATCATCCTAAAACGTCCCAAAGGAAATAAGCCACGACAATGTTAAAATTCATGCGGAAAATCTTTTAAATCAAAGCTTTTCCAACCGCACTGTTTTAACAAGCATATTATGTTTGGTTTTACGAGGCCTCAAGGGAAACTTTGACAGATTTTCTAAATTCTACAGTCATAACACAATAGATAGGCTATTTAGAAAGAATCTTGGAGAAAGTTTTTGTGAAATTAAGAACTAAGTGATGGCGGTTGCCACTGAATATAAATTATAAAATATAGTAAAGGAAATTCCACCATTATTTATTGAAAACGAAGGTGTATAAGAACGAAGCCATATCTCCATAAAGAAGCATCATTCTGACAGGTATACCTGTAACCTGAGCTGAAATTATCTCAATCTTCTAATTACGAGACAAGGTACTTTTTAAGAAATTAATTGAGATTATTGTTACCTATTTAGTGGCGAAAAAAGTTGAAAAATCTGGTTCCATACTAAAATTGATAGGAAGAACAAGGAAATATAACTCGATACAATGAAAAAAATCCTCCATTTCATTAAGTTAGGTTAGTTTGCAGAAAAATTGTAAATTTAGCAACACACTATTTTTGAATTCGACATGTTGAATAACCTCCAGGGTCCAGGTACAATATTTCGTGAAATTCTTACCTGCGGTTTCGAAGATAATTAGCGAATTCCAGACTTTTGGCTAATTCTGTATACAGGGTGTTTTCTGATTGAACGTCAATATTAAGGAGGCGATTTTTGGTTCCAAAAAAACTTCTTCACTTTTGAGAAACAGGGTGATAAAGTTTTCAAAAATTAATCATTTATATAAATTAATATCTCTAACACTACTATAGATATTTTAAAGAAATTTGGCATACATGTACCTACTATGGATACAGAGTGTACAAAAAGTGGCGGAATGGTCAATTTTATCTGAAACCACAGGTGCATTTTCCATCGACGCTGCTGCCAAGCTTACCAATTTTTCTGAAGGCACACTAGAGCTTATATCAGGTTTGAATATTTCATTTACTTCTAAACTATTATTTCTCAGAAATCGCGGGGCTCAAGTTCTAATTTACCGTATTGTTAAAAAATTATGACCCAACGAAGAACATTATTCAAATCAGCCAGAAAACTTCTTAAAAAAATGCATTTAATCTTTATAAAACCCATTTCCTGTTTAATATCGTTTCATTCATTTTCATTTCGTCTTCCTTTCCTTTCATATTGCGCTCACACACACATTATCATAACATCCGTCCCGGAAATTTTTTAAACCCCCGCTGGAGGCTGAAGGGCGGCTCTGGCATAAGTACAAAGAGTGCCATATGAATATTTTAAATCATCGCCCATTTGTTTACCATTTATTCAATTTCGCAAATGAAAGGCCAAGATCGCGAGGGCCAGGCCGCGAGCTTTTATCATTAATTGCTCTTGGGAATAATATTTTTATCGTCGTCTGTCGTACCTGTACGAGCCCAAAGGCTGAATCTTCAATTTTGTCTGTTTTTGTTTACTGAGCCAGGCTTTGTTTTGTAGATGAAAGGACCAATAATATAATTTTTCGAATTGAGAAATTAAAGGTGGGTTTAGCCAACTCTTAATGGATAATGCACAATTTTAATTCATAATTGATAATGCGTAATTCATAACGCGTAATGCATAAGAGAAAAGAGGTGTTTATACAATGCATAATTTTTGTGCATTAAGAACTGACAAGACAGCTGAGTTTGACACTTGTTATTTTTCATAAAATAATAAATAATTAAATATAGTTATAAATTAGGCTTTATATTATCAGGAAAAATCCCATTTGTATAATTAAAAACGGAAAAACTCGATTCCAGTTCAAAAACCATTGAAAACAACAGGAAAACAGACAAGATTTCGAGGTTATGAAGCAAAACCAAAACAAAAACAAAGTTGGAAATAATCAATTAATATACGCTTGCGCATTAGCGTTTTTCTTGCACAATGCATAATCGATAATTCGTAAAAGTTGAAAGTTAGTAAACTTTATGAATTATACCCATTATACACTAAATTATCCACTATCCACTATGCGTTGTATAAACAGGTGTATTTAAATATGAAGTTTTTAAAATTATCGATTATGAATTAAAACTGTGCATTATGCATTATTAGTTGGCTAAACCCACCTTAATATGTTTATTTTATGAGCAAAGTCAGTTTTTTTTATTGAACAAACATTTTGCCTTTATTGTTCTGTATATGATTGTTCTTATTCATTGCAATGATCAATAGAGATTCTCAAGATTTAAAAATACAGGGTGTCCCAGCCGAGAGTTACCCATTTTAAATGATTATAACTTTTAAACCAGGTGTGCTAGCTACCTGCGGTTTGCGCCATTCGATTTCTCTTGGCCTAAAGTTTTTTCTAGTAGGTTGCAAATTTTCTTGAAACTTATACAGGGCGAATTTAAAAAAATCCGTTTTTCAACATCGAAATTCTCCACAATTTTTAATGGAACACCAAAAAAAACGGTATCGGTGGGCGTGGCTAAAAACACTAACAATATGGCTACTGACACAGAGCCGAACTAAACAAATTCTTTATATTTTTTATCTAAAAACGTAAAATATCTATCTACATTACGCCAAGAAAAAAGAAGTTGCCACAGAAACTTCAACATACTGAAACAGAAGATCCTTCTAAGACCCCAAATAGGAATTCTGCGCTTCAAAAATTTTTCGCATTTAAAACATTTTCGGATGGAAAATGCGGCCCTGATGCATTACTGTCGCGTTGCCACGACAAAAGTGACTGACATTCAGACAGAAGAACACTCACAATATGGCGGAACTGGATACACGTTTGTCTCGTCATTTCGCCTCCTTATTATTCTACCTCAATGAATTATACCAATAGACATCATCCCTAAAACATGAAGTTTTAGTAGTAAAAAATCAAAATATTGATATTTTTGTAAATGCGTGCAACTTCATGTTGTAGGTACTTGACATCACTATGGAAAACAATTTTGTAACTGTCTAGTTAGATATCAATTAAGTTAATAGTTATTTATGATATAAGTGTTAAAAGTACATTTTTAAGGCACGCATATGAAAGTTTTCACATAAGTGCCTTAAAAATACTTTTAACACAAATATCATACAATATTTTTTCTACAAACGGCAATAAAAAGCAATAACCAGTGACAAATTGGATTTTTAAATGAATAATAAATTGGCAGCATCTTTCCTACATAAATTATTGAATTTGACATTTGTCAAAAAATCCAAACAACCAGCACTTTGTTTTACAGGTACCTAATGAAATGTCTTGTCAGTTTCTTGAAAGTCTGTCGTGGTCAGTAATTTTATTTGCTAAAAATGCAACAAAATATAGAAGAAAAAGAGGGTTGCATCGATCCCTTGAAAAATATAGATGAGGCGGCCAATCGGGCTACCTCAGTTGTTCAAATTTCACCATTATTATCAATGTAAATGACTAAAAATACTAACTTTTTTTGACATTCGCTCTCAAAATTTGATGTTTCATTTTTAACACTAGTGCTATAAAGACTTTATGGCACTAGTGCGATAAAGTAACATTTTTAATGCTATGAGGGGGTGTTAAAAATGCAATTTTTAACACGTTTGTAGAAAAAATACATTTTCCAAGAAAAAACGAGTTCCATAGAATTTTCTCTGGAACTCGTTGAATAGAGATATCCCAACAGTAACAATTTGGCGTGCAATCACTATTGAGAAAAAATACAGACCATTTTCATTAATGAACCAACGATAACAGAAACTGTATACATTGATATGTTCTTTTTTCCACAGTTAGGACAGAAGCGTATCTTGGATGATAAATCTATTTTCAGCAGGATGGTGCCCCCACCTCA